AAACAAGACTGACCATAAGCTGATAATTGTTAAAGGCACATAATAAGTACGTGGGAGTTCACTAAGCTATCTACTTTTGAGACAGTTTTAAGCTGGGTGCAGTGGCTCATGCCTGTCACTTTAGGAGGCTGAGGTGGGAGGACTGCTTGAGCCCAGGAGTTTGAGACCAGACTGGGCAACATAGTGAGACCCATCTCTATTTTTTGAAATTAAAAAAAGAGAGACAGTTTTAAAAGTTGACATTTAAAAAAGAACAAACAAACCTATGAATTTATTTCATAAATTGTTCTTCTGTGTGTTTAATTAAGTTCCACCATTATGGAGGAAAAGTTCAAGTCTTCCAACGTCCCATTTGATCTTTAGTTCTTATATATTTAAAAAAGCTGTCCACTGATTTTTTTTTCTGCTTTTAATTCAGATCAGTGATTATACTGGCAGAATTACAATGACTTTATTTTACAAGGTGATAAGTAGCACCAGATTTTCAGTTTTCACGTTTGAGGCTGTGGAAATATTGTCTCTGGACAAGAGAAATAAAATGCCAACCATGAAGCCAATGGGAAATTTCTCTTGCACAATTAAAATATTGACTATGGGAATAACAGAGGGTGAGAGGAAGAGAAGATATTTTTCAGCCAAAAATCACGGAAAGGAAATATCAATTATATGCATCAAAACAAACTTAGAAACAAACTGCTTCATTAACAAGAAAAACTATGGGGGGATGAGCTCAATTCTATCATCACTTCTATCATAAGACAAACCAGTAAAACCATCACTTTAGGCTGCTAAATATTTAAGATAACAACAGTTTATTATTCTGCTAGGCTTCTGTTCTGTGCCAGGCTCTCTGCTAAACAATTTATACAAAGTCTCTCAGCAACTCAGTGAGGTAGGGATTACTATGGGCCTTATTTTAGAAGTGGGAACACCAAGGTACAGTGAGCCTCAGTGAATGCACACGACCAGCCAAGAGCACAGCTGGCATCTGGGTCCAGGCGGGCTGGCTCGGGAGCTGCCTGCCTGCACTAGAGAATAGGACCCTAGGAACACATGGGGGCCATAAACCGGCCTGGACTTAAGGGCATCTCAGAGTAATCTTGTATCAACGGAATACAAACATACATTTAACTCTATCGGTTTCAGAGCTTTCCTTCAATCATCTTATAGGCCCTCAAAACATCCTCTAAGGGGGGCTGAACAGAGGATGGTCTCTCTGTCTTAGACGTAAAAACACAGAAGCTCAGACAGGTCAGAGGAAAACTGCGATCTTCTACCTCCAAACTCAAAAGTACTGCCATCTAAAAGTACTAGATTAAACTGGGGCCCTTCCTCTTCTCTAGAAACCTCAGAGCACTGGTGTGAAAATTAAGTGAGGCTGTACATGATGTGCTCAGCGCCAGGGCCTGTGACATCTTAAATGGTCAACAATGTTAATGTCACCCAAAATGAAATGGCTGGACTGGCCTTTTATTAGGTAACAGAAGGAGTCTCCCTTTCTTTGTTGCTGAACAAGGGAATTATCTAATGACCTCAGGAGAGAGCAGAAAGCAAGCATAAGCTTCTCCAAAGCTCAAGTTCAAAAAGTGAATCTGTATGGCTGGCACCACATGAAGCATCCGCTGGAAAGTTAGCTGCTGAAAAGAAGTACTTAAATGTGGGCTCTTAAAATAAATTTCGAAAGTTCAGGCTGAGTGCAGTGGCTCATGCTTGTAATCCCAGCACTTTGGGGAGGCCAAGGTGGGAGGATCACTTGAGGCCAGTAGTTCAACACCGGCCTGGACAAACTAGTAAAAATAGTGAGATCCTGCCTCTACAAAAAATTTTTTTTTCATTAGCCAGGTAGAATATCCTTGCAGCCCCAGATACTTGGGAAGCTGAAGTGGGAAGATTCCTTGAGCCCAGTAGTTCACAGCTGCAGTGAGCCATGGCTGGGCCATGCAGTCCAGCCTTGGCGACAGAACAATGTTGCATCTCCAACAACAGCAGCAACAACAACAAAAACAAAAAAGTTCAAGAAGAGTTCAGTTCACAGACATTAGTTTTTGATGCTACAGTACAACAACTGGCACATTCATGTACAATATTCATGCGCAATGGATGTAAATACAAACACATGAACAAATAACAATAAAATGAAAAGAAAATCCTGATTTCAAAAGGCTAGTGTTCATGTTTTTCCTTTGACGTCTCCAGAGAAAAGAAATAGTCAGAAAATTCAGTGTTCAAAGTAGACCAAAGGTTGCAAAGCTAAATGTGGTCCTGGTGAATAGATACTGCCATACACATGCATATTCACGAAAAGCTGGAGAGCAAAATTCACATGTTATAAATGCTTATATGTGCACACAGTATTCTAGAAGGACACACATAAAACTCCAGGCTGATTGCTTCTAGGTGGAGAAACTGAATAAGAGAGAGAATTACTTTTCAGTAAAGACTTAGGATTTCTTGCATACAGGTATTTTTACATAATTTGAAAAAATTTAATCCTACTGCTAAAGCTAATCATTTTGCCAGGATCAGGTTTCTAGAAGAGAAAAAGAGACTACCCTTATATTTCAGGGATTAATTGGAGGAGTTTCTGAAGATACCATTTAAAAAGCCACAGTGAATTCCAAAAGAGACAAACTGTCACAATCAGTAGAACATCAAGTAGCTAAAAGTGGGCTCTCCTGAGCCAGATAGCCTGAATTCAAATCTCTTTACCCCACTCACTGGCTCTGTGACCCTAGACAAGTTACCTAACCTTTTGGTGACTCAGTTTCCGCATCTATAAAATGGAAATAGTCATAGGACTGTCATGAAAGATAAGTATATTTGCTCATCTAGAGTAATGAAACAGTATTTGGCACACAGTAAGCATTTAATAATTGTTAGCCATCTTCATGTTGGGCGATGTTGCTCTGACAGCTAGGCTGAGTAGCAGGTAGCATGCACCATCAAACCACGTTTATGGTAGAAGCTTCTTTGATGGAACATTAAAAAACCTGATCTCATTCGATTTTCTCCCTGACATGGGATGCCTAGGACCCTGAGTGGGGGTAAATAAACACTGATTGACTGATTTTGGCTGTCAGTAAAAGTGGAAAGCCTAGATTACTTATCCAGATGTTGGGAACTATTTTTCCCAAGAGACAAACAGCACTTCCCGTGCTCTAAGAGACGATCACTGAAGCTTGTTAAATTCTATCAACTGCAAAATGATGATTCCATTTACTTTCCCTAATTAAATGTAACAACAAAAAGAAGAAAACTAAGAAAGAATTCCTAGAGTGACATCTTCCTACATGAAGCCTTAACCCAACACAGTCTGCTGCACTAGAACTTATTTATTTTATTTATTTATTTTTTTTGAGGCTTGAGAGTCAACATTGTAATTCATTTCAAGACATGCTGGAATAAGATGTTTTAGACTTTTTCCCAAAACAATAATTAAACCAGCCAGGTCCATACTAAATCTCCAGTTTACTCCCAGGAAAACAAAACAATGCTGTAGCAAAGCCGTGACCTAAACTTCGCTCCAGCTCTGCAGTTACAAAAGTCCATTCATCCCCGCCTTAGGCACCCATCTGCAAAGTGGAGATGATGATGCCCAACACTAACTCGTTACAGATGAAAATGAGAATGTGCTCAGAATTTTGAGCAACTTGGAAAAAATAAGCAATGTGTTAACTGAAGATTATTTGGACTGCTCAGACGTCAACTTTTAGGGACAAATAAACCATCTCCACCCTCCATAGGCTCTGTGAGCCCACTCAACCTAGAGGAGCCTTCACTGGGGCAATCAGCCCCCTGGAATCCCAGAGAGAGAGAAGACGAGTGAAACACACAACCTGTGGCAAGAAGGGCAAACATGTCTCACCTACATGACTAGTGTTACGGTTTGAGCTACATCTGTGACTCCAAGCAGGCTTTCAAGGTAGAGTCACAAGGACAGGAAAGGAAAGAAAAATAGGCTAGAAAATTAATGAGGCCTCTATTTCTCCTGCTTTTTTAAAAAGGAAAAACATGGCATTCTAGCAGAAATCCTACTTGATCTAAAGTGAGCTTCACATTTCTACTCTTACATTGTCTTAAATGAAAACAAGAGAAGTACCACTACATCTCTGAAGCACAGACAGCCTTTCTGCTGAAGGCAATGGTCTGGAAGCACCAGTCTCAAATCAGATCAATTTCATACCCACCTAGAAGCTACGAAAGTGAAGACCCATAATCCTCAACTTACTTTTTTCCATTTAGAAAACTAAAGACAACAACAAGAAAGAAAAATAAAATAAAATAGATGTAATTAGAGAAAGAGAGTAGGTAGAAAGAACGCAAAAGTGAAGCCCTCCTGGCCTGAGCTTCACTGAAGGAACCGAACATGACACCTTAGTACTCTGGGGGACTCCACCGAAATGCCTTCTTAAATTGGCTGTGATCTCTCTCCCTTCCGCTGAAAAGACAGCGAATTCCTAAAAACTTCTTCGTGGTCTGCAGATAAGATGGGGGTGGGGGAGATGGAAAGATCACTTGAAATTCTGTATCCATAAATGGTAGAGTGGTGTTCCCTCTGTACGCGATGCTTAATGGAAATGGCATGTTTTCACAAACACCGGTCGATCGTTTTGACACACAGTCCCAATTAACGGTGGATTCCACAACGTGCGCTCCCAGGAACGTTAAGGCCTGTGAGTTCGCTTTCTCAAACTTTTTCGGTGGAGCCCACGGTGTGGGGCCCCGGGACGCCGCCGTCACCATCCAGCGTGGCTCTCCCAGGGCTGGCGCCGGGGCTGGGAGCCACATCCGCCGGCGGCACCTAGGGGCCATCGCGAGAAAGAGAGAAAGTAAAGAAGAGAAGGAGAGAAGGAGAAGGAGAAGAGAGAAGGCGGGAGGGGGAGAAGGGGAGATCCAGGGAGGGCGCGGGCGGGAGCACGCGGGCGGCGAGGCCTATGAAGGGCCCAGCGGTGGCGGGGGGCGCGCGGCTACTCAACCCAACCCGCGCTGCCCGGGCTTACCTTCCAGGTAACAGCTGGAGGACGAGGACAGCCCCTTCTTGGATTTGCAGCCCACCAGCTTCAGGCAGATCTCCAACATTTTCCCGCGCCGGCGACGTCGGGGGCCGGCGCCCCTTTCCCAGCCCAGTCCGCGCGGGCCCGTTTCAGGCCCAGCTCGGCCCGCGCGCCCCTCCCCGGGCGCCCCCGGCCCCGCCAGGCCGCCCTCACCACCGCCCTGCGCGCCCACGCCCGCCCATGACCACGGCCGCGTCTCCGCCTCGCCGGGACGCTCCCGTTAACAAAGGGCCCAGAGAGGACGCCCGCCAGGCCCGCCCCCGCCCCGCCCCCGCCTGCGCCTTAACCCCTTCCTGGCCGCGCGCGCCCGCGCCCGCGCCCGCGCCCGCGCCCGCGCCCAGGGGCCCCCGCGTTCCCAAGGCCGAGCCTGGCCCACAGCCACCGCCGTTTTCCTGAGCCAAGCCGGGCCAATGGAGATCCTCGTAGGATGAAGGCCGCGCGCGGCCCGCCGAAGTCTTTCTTCACCTGGAAGCGCAGCCCCAGCCCCCGGGGCAGGGAGAGGGCGCAGGCCTGCTCTCCTCCACTTTAGAAGCAGCGCGCGACTCCACCGCGGCCTGGGGCGTCCCCAACCTGCACTGTTTCTAGCGAGTTTCCCCGTGCGCCGGTGTCAGGCAAACCCGATGTCCGGAGAACGCTGGTGAAAATGCAGATTCCTCTGCAGTTACCAATACTAACTGGTCTCATTTCTACTCAGTGCGCATCCTGTGACTAAGGCTGAGGCAGTAGGTGTCTGGGGAGAAACAGAGCTGGCACCCACAGGACAACCACATGGACGCGCGATCGGGTCAGGCCGCACATCCAGACCAGGATGTGAGGTCAGGCTGCGAACAGGCAGGTGTGAGTTCAGAGTGAGAGGACTTAGTTCCCCCAGTGAGAATTTTCAGAGGCAGGGTCTGAGCCTCTTCCCCAATTCATTTACTTCAACAGAGAATGTTTCCCCTTCCTTTGGCCACGGGAGGGGTGGCGGGGGGGACGGACCACTGTCTAAAATCCATTCATTCTTATCTTTTTAACTCGTTTGGACTGACCACATACAATGTTATAAAGTAGCAACAATCACAATCGTGTTACTGGCAGAGACCCAGAAATCCAGGTCAGAGGGAAACAATAAGGAACCCAATGGCACCAAATAATCCAGTAAAAATCAGGTAAGAGGAAAAGGAATTTATTTCATAAATGGTGTTAGGTCACAAAACTGCAGTCCACATCTTCTAGCCATGAAGAGTAAGAGCTGACATGAGCTCTTCCTATATACCATGTTACCTTCAGTACTGTACTACATCTGCACAATGACTGAGAAAACAGATTATCACCATTCTTCAGGTTAAAACAAAACAAAACAAAACAAACCCACGGATGCTCAGAGAAGTCAAGCACCTTGCCTGGAAACAGGGGAGATGGACTCAGCCCAGGTCTGCCCGGCTCCAGGATCAGGCTCCTGACCAGTGGATGACACTGCCCTTCACACCAAGAATAAATTCCAAGCAGATTAAAGAATTGAATATCTTTGGTCAAATAACTAGCATTGTCATTACATGTTTCAGAGAAAGCCTTGGTTATAAGACCCTGGCTACTTTCTAGCCTATCCTATAATGACAAAAACCTGGGTATCTTCAATACATCAGGAATGGCTAAGTAATAAGATCTTCACTTAGGTCTGCCAAAAACAGCACATAAAAACTCCAAATTGGACTGGATGTGACTAGTGTATATTACGGGGTTCTCGGCCCGGATGTCATTAACTTTTCACACGCGTCCTGCCAAATTCTGGTCAACATAAAACATGTATTTTTACTGGGATTGAATGGACCTACTGCTAGAGTCATGGTACCAGAACAGGCCTCATGAGCATCCAAGAGGGCACCATCAGGGAAGTTTGCAAATCCCATCATCTGGAGATGCAGGACTATAGGGCACCAAGGGGTGGGTGCAGTGACTCTGGATGCTTTCTAGGTTCTGGGAGGCACTGTCATTCTGCTGGACAGCTTGCATGTGGTGAATGCTGATGTGTTTAGTGTTGCCTTGAATCTTTCAGCCTCTATACGTAATGCCAAAAATCACACTCAAAAGGGTGCCACCAATACGAACAAGCGAAAAAACACAGTATCTCTCTGTTTTGTGGACCTTTTGGAAAGCTCAAGGGCCTTGGATCAGACTATAATAAAGTCTGTCATTATATAGCATTTCAGATTAAAGGGCTATATTCAAATTGGCAACTTAATGCCAAGAATTACACATTATTAGGCATTTTGGAAATTCTAACCATATCCTTGAATACCATCTGTTAATACAGGCCCAGATATTTGTTTGCCTTGTGCTGTACTTTATATTGGTATATAAGTTTATTTTAAAAGCTAATTATTATTACTAACATTCTGCTCTTGAGTCTAAAATGATCTTATCCTCTTAAATCCTCTTAAAATGAGTAATACTTATAAACTACACCCAAATCTTTTTAACTTAATTATAAAGCCATACATCCACAGATCTAACAAAACACTGAATTAGCGGCAATGAATACTGAAAAAACTGCCAAATTTGGCCGGGCATGGTGGCTCACGCCTGTAATCCCAGCACTTTGGGAGTGTGAGGTGGGTGGATCACCTGAGGTCACGCTTTGGAGACCAGCCTGGCCAACATGGTGAAACTCCATCTCTACTAAAAATACAAAAATTAGTCAGGAGTGGTAGCAGGCACCTGTAATCCCAGCTTCTCAGGAGGTTGAGGCACGAGAATCACTTGAAACTGGGAGGCGGAGGTTGCAGTGAGCTGAGATCATGCCACTGCACTCCAGCCTGGGCAACAGAGCAAGACTCATTTCCCAAAAAAAAAAAAAAAATAGGAGAAGAAAAAGAAAAATTCACTGTTTTGGAAGAGAGAAGAGTTGCTTCTTGTTTTCACTGGGAATAGAACAAATAGTAGTGGATATTTCTAAAATCTGAAAACAAATTTCTGAATTTAAGATATGCGCAACTCTAGAACAAGTTACTAAAAGAGGGCTCTTCTTGGATGATTAGAGGAGAGAGGCTGATGTTTTTTTTTAATTTGGAATTTAGTCCTATTAAGAAAAAGTTGGGCAGTACCCACCACAGAAGTGGGTCCAGGGAAGAAGGCCAGATTCAGGATGTGGACGCTCCACCTCCCAGCAGCAAGACTGGGTGTGAGTGCAGGTGGAACAGAGACAGATGAACCTGACAGGAGGCCTGGCTTGGGACCCGAGGAGCAGATGACCCCAGGTCTGGCTGACCCCTTCAGTGTTTCTAACCCAGCCAGTAGCTTTAGGGGGAACAACAAAGATCTTGAGGTGTGTACATACTATTTCACATGCAAATACCACAAAGCCCACTTCTCTGATTCAGCAAACATTGTCCAGTGAGCCTGCCAGGTCCTCTAGCTCTGTGGGTTCAGTCTCTGTCCAACTAAAGGATAAGATAGCTTAAAAGGTCATTTCCATCATATCAATTTTTGCCACTGTATGGAGACACATATGTCCCTTTAAGTCTCACGATTTTTCAGTCGGGTAGGACTACCTGCTGGTCACGAGTTACGTGTCACAAAGGCTAGTGCTGAGTCTCAGATCTACCACTCACTGTGGTGCCATGAGCAAGGACTTCACCTCTCAGAGCCTCAATTCTCTCATCTGAAAAAATGGGAGGTGGTCACAAGAGCAGTTATCTCACAGGGTTATGATGGCGATCGGGAGTAATGAACGGAGACTGCCCAAAGCACAGAAGGTGCTCAATAAACAGCAGCTATTGTTATTTCCAAAAGAAGACTATTCCTGCATCAGGTCTGTGTTCCTGCCTACATCTTTCTGCGACTCAGTCAAGGGCTCAAATTAACAAACATGCTATGTGAACATGATTCCAGGGAGCACAGTCTGGAGGTTTTCCAAGGGACAAGGAACTCTATTTTATGAAGAAAGAAACACTAGCTGTGAGGCAGGAGTAGCAACAAAGGTTCAAATGTCACAGGAGAGCCCTACCTTTAATCCTATAGCAAAGGTTTGCAACCACAGCTTCAGCAAAACACAAACTCCACACCCCCAAATCTTGAATGGGGGCCTAATGCAGACCCCAGATTTCGTGCACAGGCTGCACATATGAATATCCTTCAAATGACACTGATTTTTCTGTTAGTCCTCTTGGTATTTCCAGGCTATAATTCTCAGCTGGGGACCAAATCTGAACTGCCTTAGAGTAAATCCGCTTTCTAGAAAATCTCATTACAGTAAGACTTTCCTATATTTTTATAATTAACAAGTCTAAACCTAACTGTCAAACATTTTTCTCTAGAAGAAGAAAACTAATAGTATTAGTATGCTCATTCTTTAAAATTAATTTTTCGTTTTAATCAAAGTAATATAGATAACATGGTTAAAACTCAAACAGTACTTAAAGTCTTGTAAAAAGGCTAAAAATAGTCTTGTAAAAATCTGGTAATAGAAAACAGCAATCCCATTCCCTTTTCTGTTTCCCCAGAGACAGCCTCCTCCAGATTTTTAGCTAATAACATCATCTTGCTGTTTCTGAATTCATTAGCTTTATCCATTATCTATTAACTTATGACAGGGGTTTTATATTATCACATCCATAACCCCCCAAAATAACAGAATCACAATTTGGAGCATAAATCAATAGTCAGTGTTTACATTACTAGGATGATATAAATATCATTCACTGCTTAGCCAATAATATACTATGAATATTTCCTTTATTATACAATTTTGTTTATCCTAAAGATATTATCTTGTTTTCATTTAATTAATCTGTCTTTATTTATGTATTTATTTATTTATTTTTTGAGATGGAGTCTTACTCTGTCACCCAGGCTGGAGTGCAGTGGCGTGATCTTGGCTCACTGCAACCTCTGCCTCCTGGGTTCAAGCGATTCCCCTGCCTTAGCCTCCCGAGCAGCTGGGACTACAGGTGTGTGCCACCATGCCCATCTAATTTTTTAATATTTTTCATAGATACAGGGTTTCACCATATATATGGGCCAGGCTGGTCTTGAACTCCTGACTTTGTGATCTACCCACCTTAGCCTCCCAAAGTGCTGGGATTATAGGTGTGAGCCACTGCTCCTGGCTCATAGTCTTCTATATACCTATTACTAATTTCCCTTAAATACTTCAAAGATCTTTTTTTTTTTTTGAGACGGAGTTTTGCTCTTGTTACCCAGGCTGGAGTGCAATGGCGCGATCTCAGCTCACCGCAACCTCTGCCTCCTGGGTTCAGGCAATTCTCCTGCCTCAGCCTCCTGAGTAGCTAGGATTACAGGTGCGCACCACCATGCCCAGCTAATTTTTTGTATTTTGAGTAGAGACGGGGTTTCACTATGTTGACCAGGATCACCTTGGTCTCTTGACCTCGTGATCCACCCGCCTCGGCCTCCCAAAGTGCTGGGATTACAGGCTTGAGCCACCACGCCCGGCCTACTTCAAAGATCTTTCTAACACCTAGTGATATTTTTTTCAATCACTAAAACATTTCAAATATTCTCAGTTCTATTTATTGACTTACTTCTTCATTTTACTGGAATTCATCATTCAGTAGCTTCACAGAGGTGGGGTGGGAGGGTACGTGTCTAAAAAAAATACCTTTCTTCTACCCTGACAATTTGTCTGGCTATAGAATTCTAGGTTGAAAATAATTTTCCCAAATGAATTTTGAAGGTATTTATCTACTACTATCTAATTTCCAGTATTGTTTAGAGATGCAGTCCCATTCTGCTTCCTGACCCCTTAAAATGACTTGCTTTTTTCTCCTTTTTTCTCTTTGGAAGCTTTCAGGATCTTCTAACATTCTTGGTGTTCTGAACTTTCACAATGATACGAGTCTCCTTCATATATCATTCTGGACACTTATAAATTCAGAGATTTATGTTATTCAGCTTTGGAAAATACTCACTTCGCTAAACTGAATTTTTTCCTTACATTCAACTTCTCTTCTCCTCCATTTATTTCTTCATTATTATCATTATTTTTTCTCAGTTCTGTTTCTGGAATTCCTACAAAAAGGATATTAAAGCCCTGGAATTGAGTTTCTAATTTTCTTTTCTTTTTTTTTGAGACAGTTTCGTTCTCGTTGCCCAGGCTGGAGTGCAATGGCATGGTCTCGACTCACTGCAACTTCTACCTTTCGGGTTTAAGTGATTGTCCCGTCTTGGCCTCCCAAGAGTTTCTAATTTTCTTCTGTATTCTCTCTTATAGTTCTCTCAATAGTCCATGTCTTTATGTTCTATGGGGTTAGTGCAAAAGTAATCACAGTTTTTGTCATTAGAATGGCAAAAGCCCCAATTACTTTTGTACCAACCCAATACACTCTGAGACAATTTTCCACATCCTCTGTTGAATTTTAAATTTGGGATATAATGTTTTTAATATTAAACAATTCATTCTTGCTAGGTGCGGTGGCTCACAACTGGAATCCCAGCACTTTGGGAGGCCAAGGTGAGTGGATCATGAGGTCAGGAGATTGAGACCATCCTGGCTAACACAGTGAAACTCCATCCCTACTAAAATACAAAATATTAGTTGGGCGTGGTGGCGCAGGCCTGTAGTCCTGGCTACTAGAGAGGCTAAGACAGAAGAATCACTTGAACCCTGGAGGCGGAGGT